TCTATTAGATAGACAAAGAGAGAAGATAACAGACCAGTTTAAGATATTGCTTTTACTTTTTTTTAATTTTAATTGATAATGACAGACTTGTATTCAACAAAAAAAAATAAATAAATGAATTTATGACATTTTTTATTAACGAATAATAAAACTTCGATCTTAAATATCACTATCGATAATAATAAACCAGTGTTCGAGAAGGATAAATTAATACGGAATTCTATTAGATAGACAAAGAGAGAAGATAACAGACCAGTTTAGTGTACGTTTTTTTTGTTTTTTTTTTATAATTTTTGTGTACTGTTAGACAAAGATAGACCAGTTTCATAATAAGTATTTGACAAGGATAAATTCTTAGGAAATTTTATTAAGCAGACAAAGATAAACTATAACAGACAAGTTCATGTTTATTTTGATTTTTTTTTTCATTGTGTTGTTAAACAAGGATGAATTAATACTAAATCCTATTAGACAGACAAAGAAAGGAGATAACAGACCGGTTTAGGGTTTTGTTTTTATTTTTAATTTTTTTTTATTTTAATTGACAGTGACAGACTTGTATTTAACGAATATAACAACATTAAGTGAATTTGCGACATTTTTCATTAAAGAATAATAAAACTAAGATTTTAATGTCGCTATCGATAATAAACCAGTGTTCGAGAAGGATAAATTAATACGAAATTCTATTAGATGGACAAAGAGGGAAGATAACAGACCAGTTTAGTGTACGTTTTTTTAGTTTTTTTATAACTTTTGTGTATTATTAGAGAAGGATAGACTAGTTTTCATAATAAGAGTTTGACAAGGATGAATTAATAGGAAATTTTATTAACCAGATAAAGATAAACTATAACGACGAGTTCAAGTACGGTTTTTTGTTTTTTTTTCTTCAACATTGTTAAACAAGGATAAATTAATACAGAATTCTATTAGACGGCCAAAGAGATAAGATAACAGACCAGTTTAGTGTTCCTTTTTTTTAGTTTTTTTTATAATTTCTGTGTACTGTTAGACAAGGATAGACTAGTTTTCATAATAAGAGTTTGACAAGGATGAATTAATACGAGATTTTATTAATCAGTCAAAGATAAACTATTACAGACGAGTTCAAGTACGATTTTTTGATTTTGTTATCATTGTTGTTAAACAAGGATGGATTAATACGAAATCCTATTGGACAGACAAAGAGAGAAGATAACAGACCGGTTTAAGTATTGTTTATTTTGTTTTTTAATTTAATTGACAACGACAGACTTGTATTTAACAAATAAAACAACATTCAATAAATTTCTGACATTTTTTATTAAAGAATAATAATAAAACTATTATTTTAAATGTCGCCATCGATAATAAACCAGTGTTTGACAAGGATAAATTAATATGAAATTCCATTAGTAAGACAAAGTAGTCAAGTTTAAGTACGGTTTTTTGATTTTTTATCACTGTCTGTTGTTAAACAAAGATGTATTAATACGAATTTTTATTAGACAGACAAAGAGAGAGGATAACAGACCAGTTTAGCACGATTTTTTCTGGTTTTTTTTTGTTATAATTAACATTGATGGATGAATAAACTAACATTTGATGAGTTTATGACATTTATTGTTAAACATTGATAAGTAACAAAGAAAAAAGATAATAGACCAGTTCAAAGTGCTGTGTTTTTATTTCTTATAGTTTACTTAAGTGTCGATTAGATGCGATTTTGTTATTTTTGATAAAGCTCTGATAAATGCATTGTTTGGACCTCGTCCTCGCCTCCGGCATCTTTTCTCCCTGTTATTTTCCAGTCTGTGTTGTTAAATTTGCTCAAAGTACTGTAATTTCAGTCCTTTATATCCTCCAGGTTTATGTGTGTCATAAATATATCCATAAATTATCCTTATCCATTATAATAATCTATAAACTGTGTGTGGATTTTAAAACCCAACTTTGGTGCTCATACCTTTTGTCTACAGAAAATTGATTTATCTCGTAATACCACTTTGGGCCCCTTTTATTATTAATCCAATCTGATGAAGGTCATTCCTAATCTCTGGGTATGGTTTTCGTAATAAAATTTATTTTTTTATTTTTTCTTTATATAAAATTTAAAATTAAAAATTTCAAGTAACATAAGATACCACGAACATGGAAATAATGTTTAATAATAAATAAATAATAAATTAATAAATAATGTTTAAAAAAGTAAAAAAAGTACAAAATTAAGCTTAGTTGCTTGTTTTTATGGTTTTAAAAGGTTTTTGCCTGAGTAACTCAGAATTCTCTAAAATTGTATCGAGAAATGTGATGTTTTTGGTAAATTTAAAGGAACTTACGAAATACAAAATTTAGAAAAATTTTTATGGCAGAAATTTACAATTTTTTTGAGATTTTGTTAAAACAAAGTAAAAAAAGCAAAATTTAATCAAAAACTTAGCTTAGAAAGGTTTTTTTATGTTTTTGCGATTTTTACAGAAAAAATTTAATGAAATCAAAAAAATTTGTCAAACAAGAAAACGGAGAATAGCAAAGTTTGATTAAAAATATGTTATTTTTTTTAAATTGAAGAGTGTTTTTCAACGACAGACTTATAAAATTGCATAAACAAAGTAAAATAATGCAAAATATGTCTTGGAAATGCTTTATTTTTTCCTCTTTTGATGTAGTTACAATTTTTTCATAGATATTGATGGTTTTTTACGCAGACTCACAATTTTTTTGAAATTTTGTTAAAACTAAGTAAAAAAAACTGATTATTTAAAAACTTGCTTTATTTTTTTATATTTATGCAAATTTACAGCAATTTAAAAAAAAAATACTAAATCCGGAAAATTTTGTCAAAAGAAAGCAAAAAATTGCAAAAATTTGGTAAAAGATGTTATTTTTTTCTATAAATTTAATAGTGGTTTTCAACGAAAAGCTTAGAAAGGGAAAAAATTGCATAAACAAAGTATTACATTGCAAAATATGGCTTAAAAATGCGCCATTTTTAATTCTTGTGATGTATTTAGAATATTTTTTTATAAATTTTGACGCTTTTTTACGCAAAAACTCACTATTTTTTTAGGTTTTTAATTAATAAGACAAAATAAATAGCAAAATATAATCAAAAATGTGTCATAGAATTTTAGAGACCTTTCTAAAACAAGGCAAAAAAATTGCAATTATATCTAAAAATGTGACATTTCCGCGTTTTTTTTATCAGTTTAATTTTGCTTGTTTTTATGATTTAAAAAAATTTTTACCTGAGAAACTCACTAAATTCAAGAGAATTACTTAAAAATTGTATTGAAAAATGTGATGTTTTTGATAAATTTAAAGAAACTTACAAAATCCAAAAAATTTTGCTAAAACAAGACAGAAAATTAGATCTGAAAATGCCTTATTTTCACTTATTTTTTAAATTTAGAGCTTTATTGTTTAAAAAAACAACTAAATCTCAAAGATTTGATCGAAACAAAATAGAAAATTACAAAATTATATTAAAAGTGTGTAATGTTTGAAAATCTAAGACTGTTCTTACTCAAAAAACAAAATTTAGAACGTTTTTTTGAGATTAGCCTGGAAATTGGTTATTTTTTATGTTTTTGTAAATTTAAGGCGATTTTTACAGAAAAAAATCAATGAAATCAAAAGATTTCGTCACAAGAAAACGGAAAATAGCAAAGTTTGATTAAAAAAAATGTTATTTTCTTTAAATTTAAAAGTGGTTTTCAACGAGAAACTTATAAAAATATAAAAAACTTGCATAAAGAAAGTATAGCTTAAAAATGCGCTATTTGTAATTCTTTTGGCCTATTTAGAATATTTTTTATAAATTTTGACGTTTTTTGCGCAGAAACTCACAATTTTTTTTAGGTTTTTAATTAATAAAACAAAGTAGAAATAGCAAAATATTATCAAAAATGTGTCATAGAATTTTAGAGATCTTTCTAAAACAAGGCAAAAAATTGCAAATATATCTAAAAATGTGACATTTCCGCGTTTTTTATCACGTTCTTTCCAAAAGTATAAGTAGAAAACCACAAAACTTATTTACAGGGTGTATCAGAACTCGCATCTCAGAAAAAAATTTGAAATAAGATAAAATACCACGAACATGGAAAAAATTCTGTCTATAGAAATTTCGAAGTTAGGACTTACGAGAATTTAAATTTTGTACTTTGACTCTTTTTATTTCTGTTGAAAAAGTTTTTTTTGCTACGTGGCTTTCATGGGCAATTTTTTTTGTACCTTTACTAAATAATTATACAAAACATATAGGTTTTTTTTGACAGATAATTTTTTTTAACATTTTTTCCTGGTGTCTTGTCTTACTTGAAAATTTTCTCTGCATTTTGTTATATATTTTGTTATTTCATTTTTTTTTCTTTGTCTTTATTTTTTGCTTAAATTTTTGCCATCTTGTTTTCAAAATAATGCAAAATATGGTTTAGGAATGCTTTATTTTTATTAAGTAAGATAAGATACCAGGAACATAAAAAAAATGTTTAGAAAATTCTATCTATTACAATTTAGGATACAGCTTCCTTGTTTCCTCTTCTAATAGTCAGTAGCAAAAAAACGACGGAGAATTATTTTTCCAACAGAAATAGATAGAGTCAAAGTGCAAAATTTAAACTCTCATATCTCCAAAATTTTTATAGATAGAATTTTTTTAACATTTTTTTCATGTTCCTGGTATCTTACCTTATATGGCCTTCTTCTCTGGGGCGCAAGTTCTGGCGCACCCTGTATTTAGAACTTTTTCATAGATCTTGATCGTTTTTTACGCAGACTCACTAATTTTTTGAGATTTTGTTAAAACTAAGTAAAAAAAACACATTATATAATGTGTTATTTTTTCATGTTTACGCAAATTTAGAGCGCTTTTTCGGAAATTCGGAAAAATTTTTCTCTGTATTTTGTTATATATTTTCTTATTTTTTTTCTTCTTTATTTTTTAAAATTTTTCCATCTTGTTTTCAAAATCTCAAACAACTTTGATTAAAATGGGATTTTTTTTTTGTTTTCAGAGGGAATCAGCTCAGAGGGATGCTGACCGCGAGCGCCGCCTCCGCGCCGACAGCGAATCAAGGGCGAAACAGGCCCTTCAAGACGCCGCTCGATGCAAATCAAGACTTAAACTCCTCACAAGCGAATTCACAAGGTTTGTCCAAATTTAAAGGAAAAAAAAATCAACATAATGCGAATTATATAGCCCATTCGGCAGCTATTTTCCTTTTATTACGACGTTTGCAACACAAAGGATTAATTGAATTAAAATTTCTCAAAGTTTTCTCCTCTTGTGATAAGACACAGCAGCGGCGATTCAAATATTTGCGTGTGTACTTAGGGGAGATAACTTTAAGATTTGGGCCGCTATCGGAGTGAATAAATCAAATTAGGAGAATTACAAAAAAGCGGGCTTTTTACCGAAATTAAATCCGAGTAAAAGGGTAAATAAATCTGGAGAGAGCTATTTCGGAAAGCACACCATTTAAATTTCAAATATTTACATTTCTTTGGCGAATACGTCTCAAGGGTTCGACTTGAAGAATGCAAAGCAGGAATCGATAATAAATAAACAATTTTCAGGCCGTATCTCGATAGTTCGATGATTTAAAATCAGTCGAGCCAACCCTTGGTTTGAGTTTTATGAAGCCAATATCTACTAAATCATCCACATATTGCCAGGATAAGGAGAGTTTACTGGCGATATCCTTGCAGATTTATCGCGGTTGAGGTTGCCACTGGTGGGGTCAACCGTCACTAAAGTGCTAAATATTTATGGCGCTATTTGGGACTTTTCGTAAATTGGTAACGGATATTTGAAAAATTTTCAAAAATTATTGGTTTGGTCTTTGAATTGCAAAAAACGTGATTTGGGACTGCGCCACCACGCCCCCGGCCGGTATCTCTGCTCTTTTATTTATGTTTGTGTTTTTAAAATGTTTAGTGCACTTTTTTGAGTCTCTTAGACTGAATTTGGAACAATTTTGAAGTTTTTTATTTTTTGATTTTGATTGATTTTCGGTACCCGGAGCGGTCTATTGCCCATAAGTCCGGACTTATTGGTGATAACCTCTAATGTTTAGTACCGTTAATTTTCTATCAAATAAACCTAGATTTTTGATTTTTTGGTCAAAATTTTCTGGCCTTATTCTTAATTTTATTATTCAATATCTCAAAAACTATGCATCGTAGAGTATTTTAACTTGTTGCATTGTGTTCAGCGCGTAATTTTACGTCTAGAAAACCATATTTCAACCTTTTTTACGATTTTTAGTAAATTGACTATTTTTATGATTTTACTACAAAAATTCAAAAAATTCGAAATTTTTGAAACTTGACCTAGTGGCGTTTTATGCACTTTTTTGAGTCTTTAGGACCTCTAGAAATGTAAAAAACGTAAAAAAGATCAATTTTAAAGTTAAACATTTTTTTGATTTTTGTCGAGATTTTGGTCGATTTTTGGTACCCGGAGCGGTCTAATGGCAATAACTCCGGACTTATTAGAGATAACCTCTTATATTTGGTACCGTTGYATAGAAAATTGAATTTTCTATCATATATTAAAAAAWTCAGTGCTRTACGATGAATAGTTATCGAYAAAATTTCTGATAAAATCAAAAATATCGAGAATTTAAATCCGACTATAACTTGAAAACTACTACGAATTTTGCAGTTTATTTGACGCCAATCGATTCCCCGGAACATTTTACATAGGTATAGGTCAAAATATTATGTCATTGAGACACAGTTTTGCCCCAATTTACAAAATAAAAAAAAGTAAAAATTTGTCAACACCCCCCCCTTAAAAWCTAGTGTTTTTAAASATGTCTCAGATTKAATTWAAACCTATCTTATCCGATAGATTTTGAGGCGCTAATTACGAATTTTCCAATTATTTTGCGCTATCTCCTTTAGTTTCGCCGTAATCGGCGTTTAAAAATTCAAATTTTTTTGCGAGATTTCGACTTGGCTTAGGCCTCAGTTGATAGATTTTCTTACGCTGATTACGATGGAATTAAATTCTTTGCTCTAAGTCTAATAGTTTGGCCGTAATCGCCGTTAAAAAAGTGAAAATTGTCAAAATTGTGAAACTTTAAACGCGTTTTTCTACGAAACTATAGAACTTAGAGCAAAGGAGTAAAAACCATCAAAATTAGCTTAAAATAATCTATCTAATGGCGCAAACCGGAAGTCGCTCCGGGTTATGGTTCCGGGTACAGAGTCATTTTTAGTTTTTTCAAAAAAAAATTCATATCTCAAAAACTATGAGTCTTAGGTCAACAGGGTTTGTACAGGCGTGTTCTCCGGTTAATTTTACATGTAGTACTAGTTTTTTATAAGAATAAAAAAAATTTGATTGTTTGGTAAAAATCGGATTTTTCTAGACTTATTCTTAATTTTATTACTCAATATCTCAAAAACTATGCATCGTAGAGTATTTTAACTTGTTGCATCGTGTTCAGGGCGGAATCTTACGTCTAGAAATTCATATTTTAAGCATTTTTACAACTTTAGGTAAATTGACTATTTTTACGATTTTACTACAAAAATTCGAAATTTTTGAAACTTGACCCAGTGGCGTTTTATGCACTTATTTGAGTCCTTAAGACCTCTAGGAATGTAAAAAACGTAAAATAGATCAATTTTAAAGTTAAAAATTTTTTTGATTTTTGTCGAGATTTTGGTCGATTTTTGGCACCCGGAGCGGTCTAATGGCAATAACTCCGGACTTATTAGAGATAACCTCTTATATTTGGTACCGTTGGATAGAAAATTGAATTTTCTATCATAT